TGCCATCAGCACAGTGGGACACCTGCCCTCTTAGTAGCCCTTCATGCTCCATCTTTAATGCCTCCCTGGACAATGCCTCCCTGGAGCAAAGCGTATTGGTGACGGCTGTCAGCCTGGGTCCGGGGCAGGCAGCGGCTGGGAGGAAAAGGCCAGCCCTGCCATGCGCCTGGGGTCCCGATGCAGGCACCGGGTATGCAGAGGGCAGGGGAGGCCCGGAGCCCCGAGCTGCCCTGGGGCGAAGTAGGCGCTGCAGCTCAACGCCCAGAAGGATGAGTGAAAGCCCTGGTGTGGCTCGGGCGTCTTAAAGCACCCTTGAGGAGGAGGATATCTCCGTGTTGCAGAGAACTTAGATTATCCCGTGCATTTAGCAGTGGTAAAGTTTTGTATTATTAAGGGTCCAACTTAATGTACAAAAAGAACATCTGGTGTGTGTTTGTGTCTCCTCTCCCTCCTCCTCTTTGAGGTCTAAAGGGAGGTGCACGTGGGGAAGTCCTGTTCAAGGACACGTCTCCCGTGTCGCCTTGCCGCCCACCCGCAGCGGCCGTGTGGGGTGGCGTGCACTCTCGGATGAGAGTCTTCCTTCCTCCTGATGAAGTGCCTGTGCCTGGCGGTGCTCGTCTGGGGTTGCTTTTTGCACCATGTTGGCTTTTCCAATGGGTTAGGTCACACCTTGTCCTGAAGGCCCGGTTTGGAGAGCTCACGCTTCGAGTAAGCTAATAGCCCACCTGTACAGAGGCGGTGGGCAGACTCCCTTAAACCCGAGGGGGAAAGGTTTCGATCGCTGTTTTTTCTTAAAGTCATGCTTATTAGTGTGTTGACAGTTTGCCAGTGAAAGGCTTTTCTCATGGAAAACACCGCAGCCTTCGTTATTTAGACATGAGTCCCAGGTGGCCATCTGCTCCTTCACATGAACTTGAAGGGTGTCCCTTTGATCGATGCTCCTCTGTGGCTTTGGTCCTGCTCTTCCTGTTTCCGGCCTGGCCCACACACAGGCGGTGTGCTGTTGATGTGGGAGATGTGGTGTTTTGAGGCCTGCGTTCCTAGCTCTACAGCCTATTAGGGAACACCTGTAGCCCCCTGAGAACTTCACTCATGGTTAAGAGGGTGTGAGTATCTGTCCTGTCAGGGTATTGGGAGGATTGAATGCAGCGCTCCTGAGAGCACGGTGCGTGCAAAGGGAGGCCCCGTGGGGACAACCCAGACAGCACACCAACTGCCCAGCCTTGGGCCACGGGGATCTGACATCAGGCATATTTACTTTTCAATTAAAAATTTCAAATACAACTTATGTCTGAAAGAACCACTGAATACACCAATACAGAGGGAAGTCGTGTTGGTGGGCTTGGCTGCTTACTGGGTGGTTTTCTTTATTTTTTTTAATTTTTACTGTTTTTAATATATTTTATTGATTTTTTACAGAGAGGAAGGGAGAGAGATAGAGAGTTAGAAACATCGATCGCTGCCTCCTGCACCCCCCCACCCCCCCACAGGGGATCAAGCCCACAACACGGGCATGTTCCCTTGACTGGAATCAAACCCGAGACCCTTCAGTTCACAGACTGACGCTCTATCCACTGAGCCAAACCAGCTAGGGCCTTTGCCCATTTTTTAATTGGGTTGTTTGTTTTCTTTTTGTTAAGTTGCGTAAGTTCCTTATATATTTTGGATATTAACCCCCAGCTTTATTTTGTTTCTTTTTTTCCGCCAGCTTTTTTTGTTTTTGTTTCCATTTGCATGGAAAAAATTTGTTTCCATTCCTTCATTCTCATCCTGTGTGAGACTTTTTTTCTGAGGTGGGTCTCTTGTAGACAGCATATAGGTGGGTCATGTTTTTGTATCCATTCAGCCACCCTATGCCTTTTGTTTGGAGTATTTAATCTATTTACATTAAAGTTTATTATTAAGAGGTATTTACTTATTGCCATTTAACTATGTATGCCTAGGTTTCACTCTCCATTTCTTCTCATTATATCATTGCTTTTAGCATTTCTTGCAATGCTGGCTTGGTGGTGATAAACTCCCCCCTGCCCCTTTTTTATTTTTTTGGTCTGGGAAGCTCTTTATTTCACCATCTTGAATGAGAGCCTTGCTGGATATAGTAACCTTGGTTTCAGATACTTGCTATTCATTACCTTGAGTGCTTCATGCTTTTGCCTTTAGAGTTTCTGATGAGATATCAGTTGACAGCCTTATGGGAGCTCCTTTATGGGTAACAAATTGCTTTTCTCTTGCTGCCTTTAAGGTTCTCTCTTTGTCTTTCATTTTTGGCATTTTAATTATGATGTGTCAGGGCATGGGCCTTTTTGGGTTTTTCTTGCTTGAGTCTCTGTACCTCCTGAACTTCTGTGACTTTTTCCTTCACCAGGTTAGGAAAGTTTTCTGCCATTATTTCTTCAAACACGTTCTCTATCCCTTACTCCCTTTCTTCCCCATTCTAGTGCACGTATTATGTGAATATTGTTTTTTTTTAATATATTTTTATTGATTTCAGAGAGTGAGAGGGAGAAAGAGTTAGGAACTTCAATTATGAGAATCATTGATCAGCTGCCTCCTGCAGCTGGGGATTGAGCCTGCAACCCAGGCATGTGCCCTTGACCGGAATCAAACCCAGGACCTTTCAGTCTGCTGGCCAACACTCTATCCACTGAGCCAAAACAACTAGGACTATCCTCTTGTTTTCTAATTCTTTTTTTTTTTTTTTGTTCTCTGATTGGATGATTTTTCTTCCCTAATTCACTGACCCCATCCTCAGCTTCTCCTAATCTGCTGTGTATTCTTTCTAATGTTTTATTTGTGTTATGTCATTCTTTATTTCTGTTCTTTTTCATAGTTACTATATCTTTTCTCATGCTGTTGAGCATCTTTGCCATCATTATTCTGAACTCTATTATCACATAGTTTTATCTCTATTTCATTTATCTCTTCTTCTGGAGAATTCTCTTGTTCTTTAATTTGGGGCTTTTTTTTTTTTTGGCTCTTCATTTTGACTGCCTGTTTGGGTTTGTGACTGTGTATTAGGTAGATCTGTTACACCTTCCAATCTCTACTGCAGGACAGTGTCAAACACTGTTTCTGACAAATTAGATCAGGCAAAGACTCAAAGCCTCCAGAGACTTGCCTCTACCTGAAGACTGATTGGTTTAGTCTTCAGTAGTCCTCAGGCAATTGTCCACGGGTGTGGCAAGAGGTTTTCCAACAGGGTGGGGCCGTTGCTTTTACCTGGAGGCTAATTGTTATTCTCAGTCTCTTAATGGGCCTCAGAAAGCCACACCATGGAGTAAGGGGTTTTCCAATAGGGTGGGTGAACTGTCTTCTCCCCCAGGCAAAACCGCCCGGATTGCAAAGGCCTGCCTGAGAAAGCGGACCTCTGCAGCATGAGGGAATAACTTAGCACAGGAAACCAGGGCGCGTGCCTTCCGAGCTCTAACCTCAGAGCCCCCGATCCTGGCTTCTGCTCACACAGCTCCAGTCTACTCTGCCCTCCCTCTGCTGGACCCCCAGGGGAGTGGCTGCACACTAAATTTTGTGTTGACCCTTTAAGAGGGTGCCTGCTTTTCCAGCCCTCTCTCCCTGGCAGAGTGCTTTTCACAGCCAGATATGTGGGCACCTTTCTCAGTTATGGTGCTTTTTGCTGGGGGCGGGGCGGGGGGGTGTCTCGCTTGGAGATTAGGCCCCAGAGTTCTCAGTGGCACCTCCCCCACAGCTGAGATATCTCTCCAGAACTTCACCTGCTCTCTGTGGGTGCCCGCCAGCCCTTTCGTGCCTCCGCCCCACCTACCAGCCTCTAGTGGTCTTCACTTTCCATCCTTGGTTATCAGGGTTCTCTCCCATTGATTATTCAGGGTGGATTTTTTATTTGTTTGTTTTATGTATTTTTAGTTATAATTTTAATTTGGTCCTGGATGGGTGTCTGTGTAGCATCCACTTATTCTGTCACCATTTTCAATCTCCATTTCCATCCTGGTATACATCTAACGTCTTGCCCAAATCTAGTCTTCCCATTGTGTTTGGTTATCACCTTTTCCTTGCATTTAATCATATTTTTAAATAAAAAGCATGTACCCTCTACAATAATGCTAGAGAATATATAAAATAGGATGAAGTTTTTAATACAAATTTATGAACTTGCCTTTGTAACATTTTTATGATAGCCCTACTCGGATTATCTTTTTGCTACTTGACTGAAATAGAACTCGATTTTTCTGTGGGGTGTTTAACACTTTGGACCATAATCAAGCCAGGGATGAATTAATAGATCTCTGAGGGAACTGTCAGGACAGATCCCCTCTGGGTGTGAAATGTAATTAACAATGGCAGTGAACTTGGTGGGAGCGCGCAGACCTTCAGGGACCTGGAAAATGCCAGGCAAGGACTGAAAGTAGTTCCCCCAGTGGAGGGAAGGTGAGGGGAGAGCAGACTGCCCAGCAGGAGGGAGAGGCTGCAGTGCCGCAGGCTTCTCGCCACAAGGCCCTGGTATTTCTGGGGATGTTATTCTCAGATTTCCTGCAGGGATGATTTTAGCACCAGGCTGTGGGCCCCGTAGCTGGCCTCTCAATAAATGGCCAGGACGAGAGACTCCAAGACAGGATCGCATCTAAGTAATGTCAGTGCTCTCTGCAGTGGCGCCTCAGCACCCAGACTGGCTTCCTTCCCAGGGGGCAGCCTCCCTTTTGTTATGGCAGGCTCCGCAGTTGTGGGTGGGGAGCAGTGGGTAGGGAGTCTGAGTACACTTGGGACCTAGGTCTCTGTTTTATGGCCTGCTGTCCCCATTCCCACCATCCCTTGCTTCCCTGACTGTGGCCTCCATCTGATTGGCGGCTAGAAGGTGGGGAGGTGGGAGCAGTTTTGTTTGGGTAGAGGTCACTAGGTACAAGGCAACTTTCTTCTGGGGTTTATTAAAAATATTTGTTTCAGGTAAATAAGCAGTTATTGCTCAAGCAGTTACTTAAAGTCAAACAAGCAAGCGTCCTAACATATGATTTTCTGTTTCCTTTCAGATCGCCTCTGCTCCTTTACTACAAGAGGTTTCCCAGAGCAGAGCCCTGTGGAGGTGTGAGTTGGGTTTGGGAGCCTGGAGAATTGCCGCCGCCCCGTCCCTGCGCAGGTGTGATCTGCTGGAGTCCCCGCCAGGGGTTCTGGTGTGGCCAGTCATCTCGTAGCTGAGGCCAAGGGTAAGTCTGCAACTTCCTGCTTTAAAATGGGGAGAAGAGGCTGCTTTCGCCTGAAATACTTGCTTGGCACAGTAGGTTGGACATTAATAAAATGGCAGGAAGTGTAGCCCTGATTTGTTGAGCCACATAATATTTCCGTTTTCAAAGGATTTGGTTGAAAAGTTACGGTCACTAGCCCTGCTGTAGGGTGTGACGTGCTGAGGAGCTGGAGGCATAGCACAGGCACCTCGCCCCGTGAAACGCCCTGCGCTGAGCTCTCCGGCCCAGCAGGTGGTTCTCGAGGCTGCAGGTCGGGCCTCCTGGGCCGCTGGGAACCCTGAGACGAGGGGCGCTGCCGCCGGGACCCTCAGTCCGGCAGAGGCTTCATTCCGCTCTGATGCTGAGAAGACAAGTCTGCATCAGAAGTTGCCAATAGATAAAGAGTTTTGAGGAACGTTTACCTGTTTGTACGAGAATGTACTTGTGTGTATTAAACTGAAACCATGTCTGTATTGTAGGCAGGCGGGTTCTGAGATCCAGGGGCCCTGTAATAGCAGATACTAGACAACGTCATACCTCGTATAACATAGCATTGCTGAGCCCTGGCATTGTTTGGGATGTTTGACTTAGGACGTAAGAAATGCTGGGCAGCATTCTGGCCGACCTGGCTCTGTCTCTGGCTGTGTGAGCAGGTGCAATTGCACCTCCAGACCAGGGCCTCACCGCTGGGACCAGCGCCTCACAGCTGGGACAAGCGCCTCACACCTGGGACAAGCGCTTCACAGCTGGGAGCAGTGCCTCACCGCTGGGGCCAGTGCCTCACAGCTGGGACCAGGGCCTCACAGCTGGGACCAGGGCCTCACAGCTGGGGCCAGGGCCTCACAGCTGGGGCCAGGGCCTCACAGCTGAGACCAGGGCCTCACAGCTGGGACCAGGGCCTCACAGATGGGAGCAGTGCCTCACAGCTGGGACCAGGGCCTCACAGCTGGGAGCAGCGCCTCACAGCTGGGACCAGCGCCTCACAGCTGGGACCAGCGCCTCACAGCTGGGACCAG